TATATATATATATATATATATATATATATATATATATATATATATATATATATATTTTTTAATCAAGATAAGAGCATAAGCAATATTTTTATTTATACACAGAAAAAAACTTCTTGCATCAAGAAAATTTGACTTCATTCAAGAAATTTTCAATCTTCCTTAATATTTTCTTGAGCCAAGAAAATTTACTCTCCAGTCAAGAATTTTTTTTTCAGTGTAGGTGTTGTATTTTCTTAACGATCGGGTTAGCTGGTCTTTAAAACGGGAGATGACGATTATATTAATAGACAGAGCATATTGTAATAGCTTAAAACTCAGGACACGTGACACGTGACCGTAACCAATGAAATGTTAAATGTTATTGTACGAGGGGTTTCTGTTAGTTTAAACGTTTGTTAAACTGACTGACGACTGGTTTAATGTTATTATTCAGTATTAGTCGATTACCAGGGTTTTCACGATGACGCAAAAGTATTTATAGAGTCCACACACTCAAACAACAGTTGTTATTATATGTTGTATGCATACGTAATATATGCAGCGTGTGTGGCGGAATAGCTGTTGATTCAGGGGACTTAATAATATATATATATATACTTAATAATTTATTAATTTTATAAAAATACGATGACAGTTGTGTGAAGATGGAACCAAAGGCTTTTTGTTTTAATCAAGTGTGACGAATCATATTTTCTCCTTTCTATCTACTTAAAAAGTTATAACGGGTCGAACACTCGAGTGCTGACTCGCCGGATAATATAATCGCCAGGTTATTTCCTTCTAACGTTAATGGGAAAAAGGAAACTCGGTGTTTTAAAGTTCAAATAAATAATTCGAGAGAAATGTTTAATTGGTAAGCTAAATAAACGGCTGCTCGAGCTCTCGAGAGCTTGAATTTTAATATTAAGAGTGCTTGACGTTTAAAAATACAAAGTGTATACATGCCAGCAGGTAAAATCCGTTTTTCTTTTTTAAATTGATGAGATTGCATTTTTTTTTTTTTTTCGGGTAAAACAAATAACCGAAAAAATAATGTTTGGAAAATGATTCACGGGTTTTAAAATTGCCAACATCATTATTCATTAAATAAATTACAATATTATTTTGACGTGACGTTTAGCAAACGCGGTGGATATTTTCGCTGTACAATAACTCCCCATTAGAAGGATTTTACCGGTCGGGATGAACAGTTTGTGGGTGAAATGCCCTACAGAAGATAAATAAAAAGGATGATGTAAGGACAAGAGATGTCCGTACTATATAATATATATGGAAGAAGCTGTAGAAGAACTCTCGTTGAGAAAAAAGGGAAAGGAGATAAAAGGACATGATGAATCAGAAGAGTAAATGTATATGTGTATATATATAAGAATAAGAGTTTAGTTTAGTTGGAAAGAGAACAGAGCACTCCCGGCAATGAATCAGTTTTAGAAGCCCGCCCTGCCACGGATATACGCAGACCGTTGTTTGGGTTATGATATACACTTCTTGTATGTAAATCACGCTCGCATGGCTACAGTCCATTCAAGAAATATTGCCTCGGCTTCCTGTTCACTGTACCACATTGCAAATAAAAAATTATTTTTATCCTCGAAAATAATTTTAAGAAAATAAATTAAATTACAACTAATTGGAATTTAAAATAAAAATTTAAAAATTAAAAAAGTGATGAAGAAAATGAGGAAAGACGAAAAACGTCAAAGGAGAGAGATAAATAAATTTGCTGGGACTTAATATTATTCATTATTTATTTTACAACTCAGGGTAAGTATCTTTCGCTAACCATGTCAGTGCACTGTCTTGTGCAGAATTTAACGCATAAATTATTTTCCTCCTTTTTCTATGCACTACTGTGGGTTGGTGCAGGAGGTCAAGGGGAGAGGGGGTTCAACGAGGTAGAAAATATTAACGTCTGACGAGGCAGCAGTCGAGTGGAAAAGAATAAAAAGTTATAATAAAATAAAATATAATATTATGTTGAGGTGGAAGAGGATAGAGGATAGAAAAGGATCCCCTCCGATGTCCCGTAGAGTTTTCTTAAATAAACTGCAGGTAGGCGCGATATTCCTCTGCTCGTGATGCTGCAGTCACGACCCGTACCCGTGGTACTGAGTAGACGGCGGTTGTCCTCCATCTTTAACTCTTAAACTTTTGCCTCCTGGCCAGCTCTTTCACTTCTACTTATTCTTTTGCTTTTACTTCACCTTAAAGACCTCAGCCGAGAGTTCATTACCTCGCGCAGTTACGATAACAATCTAATTTTTTGCCATTTGACACTTTTAATATTTATACTCTTTTAATTGCTTATAAATTTATAAGTTAGAAATTTTGTTTATTTTTTATTGGATGTTTTTTTTTAACAAGTGTTTTTAATATTTATTTAATTTCATTAATATATACATTTTTTTAATTAATGATTTAATAAATCTACATTATTAAGGGAATAAGAAAAATTTTGTCTTCAGGATGGTCATATGATAAAATCAGCTACACTCGAAAATGCTCTATCTCTAGGTACATAATTAAGATAATGACCTTTTATCTTGTGAAATATTGACATTTTTAAAGATATAAGCTCATCCCGATAACTTGAAATTTGGCAGGGATATTACTTTTACCATGTAGAGGTCAGCTAAGAACGGATTTTAGGAAATTCCTCCCCCAAAGGGGTTTGCGAGGGCGTTAATAATGAAAAATTCCCGTTTTTAAACTATACCTTCTATCGACTCCAAATTTGGTAGGAATCTTTTGTAAGAGATGTAGAAATAATCTATGAACGAATTTTACGATATCTCACTCCCTGAAGGGGTTGCGGGGGTGGGTATTAATAATGAAAATTTTTAATTTTCCAGCTATAGCTCCTATCGACTTCAAATTTTGTAGGAATCTTATGTAAGTGATGTAAAAATAGTTTTTGAACCAATTTTCCGATATCCCATTCCATAGGGGGTTGCGGGGGTGTGTGTATTAACAATGAAAATTTTTAGTTTTCAAGCTTTAGCTTCTATCGACTCCAAATCTGCTAGGAATCTCCTTTAAGTGATGTAAAAATAATTTATGAACAAATTTCACGATAGCTCACGCCACAGGGGGTTGCGGGGTGGGTGTTAACAATGAAAATTTCAAATTTCTGAGATATAGATCTTATATGCTCCAAATTTAGTAAGAATCTACTATATGTGAAGTAGAAATGATCTAAGAGAGGATTTTATGACAACCTATCTCCAATATGGATTGCGGGGGCGGGTGTTAACAATGAAAATTTTAAATTTCCAAACTGTAGCTCCTATAGGTTCCAAATTTGGTGAGAATCTGCTATATGTGAGGTAAGAATGATCTCAGAGCGGATTTT